CGTGTAGGGTGGTCAGTGGGAGGGAGAGGGTGGAAGCTAAGATTGAGATTTGTGCCAGGGCTGCTTGGTTTTCTCCTTCCTGTCTCTGTCAGGCAGAGACAGCAAAGTTCACAGCTCATCTGCCCCTTGCAATTCCTGGCCAGAGTGAGAAATGTAGCAAACTCACTCCCTGACAAAGGGCAACAGCCAGCAATGTCCATGTGTGAAATTTGGGGGTGGGCTGAAGCTGCCCCAAAGGGAGCCTGGGGGAATGGAAAGTTCAGGGCTGGGGCAGTCCCAGAAAAGGGGGTGCCCCGAGTCAATCCCTTTCACCTGCATGGTGGTGGTCTCTTTTCTGTATGGTTTTATAAGAAACAATCCCATTCCAGGCTCATCCCTTTTTCCTGGCACAGCTAAACCCGTACCTAGCTTTCTGTTATGTTAGGAGGAAACTGTATACTGAATTTGGTGGTCCTATTTCTTACCATTTAGGAGGAGTTCTTGAGCAGACAGAGAATAGGCAAACTCTCTCAATATATAGTAGATAATTTAAATGTACAAAATGAAAATATAATACTGATCTAGGTCCATGCTCACTAATGGCTCGGTTTATAGATAAAGCTAAATTTGTGTGTGTGTGTGTGTGTGTGTAACTAAAAAGTAATATTGGAAAAATATTCAATTGTAATTCTACATTATAACAACAATTTTGTCTTTGATTATTTTTTCTAAAAAAAAAAATCAGTCTCCTTTTTTCTTTACATTTTATTTTCAATTTTTGTTGGTTCTTCAGATCTCCTAATGTTCGCTTGGTGTGTGTTTCTTTGCTGCCACCAACTCTCTTCCTTTTCTCCTTGTGGTTCTTTGCTGCCTGGTTCTCCTCCACTTCACTCTATCTAAACACTTTCATGTTGCCTCATTCTTTGTTCCCCTGGACCGTGGTGCTTTCATAGGGATCTCTTGTCCCCTAGCTCCTCAGTAAATGTCTCTACTGCTGAATCCTCAGGGTCTTGTTCTGACCTTTTTTACACAGCAGTAATCTATAGGAGAGCCAGATAAGCTAGTTCTTTCTGATTTGCAGGGCTCGCCAAGCGGCAGCGAGCCCCACTCGACAGCTGCGCAGTTTTGCGTGGTTCTGCACATTGCTCTGCACTGGCTCTTCCGGGTTGTAATCTACTTGCCACAGGCGAGTAGATTACATTATTTGCTGAACCCTGCTTATTTGCATGTACAGCTGCTCCCTGAGTTACGACCACCTCCACTTACGACCATCCGCACGTACAACCAAAGCAGTCGTAAATGCGGATCCAAGTTATGATCGGCGATCCACGCTTACGAACAGCGCGGTCGCCATGTAACTCTATGGGATCCGAGTTATGAACACTTCGAGTTACGGACCAAGTGTTAATCCATAACTTGTTCGTAACTCGGGGAGCGGCTGTATTGAAAACTTTAGTATGTGAGGTAACATCTGGAAACTGTGACCAGACAATTCTCTCTCAACTAATATTGGTCTAATGAACCACATTTTGTGAACCACTGAATTGTATGATAGAAGATCAGAACGTCAAAAGAGGCAATAGCAGTGCCTCTTTCCCCTGCTCCACTGCCTAATCTTTGAGAACAGCAGGGCAAGATGAGACGACAAAGGTTTTTAAGGAGGTATGTGTGTTCAAATTCTTTATATAAGCCCATTAGTCTTCTGAGAACCTGGATATCATTTCAGGGTATTCACCTGAGAGCTCCCGGGATGAAGCTAAATATGAAAAAAAAATAACATACAAGCAAGAAAATGCAAATAGTATATATTAAGAAAAGCAAATTCTACACTTAGTTTTGCAAGCAGAAGAGACATCTTGAACTACACAGACTTCTGAAAATAGGGAATTTGGTCCTAATCAGAATGAAAATTTATCTTGCAGACAGTTTTTGGCCCTGTCTGACCATAGGGAGAGATTCATGATTCCATTGACAGTTTTTTGATTATTTCTAACAGTCTTAGGACACACACTCATTTCATTTATATTCCACATAGCAACAGTGCAGTTTTGAGTCAATTAGACAATAGAGGCAAAACTTCTTTCCTAGGCGATATATTTCTTAATGGGTGTCATCTTAGAGTAATTCCATACTTTCTTGCTTTTTTTGTTTGTTTGTTTGGATCGATGTCCAATCCACTTTGTAATTGTAAAGGTCAACCTAAGAAAGTTATTCTAGAGTAAGGTTATTATCATTCTTTTTAAATGATGGTCCATTTACACTTTCTAAGCAGAACTGCCTAAAGTGGAAACATGTAACAAACAGTACAGAGAGAATATGAAAACTTTATCTCTGACATTTTCTGTGTAATAAAAATAGTTCAGTTTACCAATGAATGTATTCTGATTTCTCACATTATAAGCTTGTAGTTGCAAGGAAAGGTATTTTGTTTTCTTAGTGGGTCGTTCCACTGAGACAATGCTATCAAGTGTCCCCCACTTCATGCAGGTCTAGCTTTGTAGAAACAATGGCACTCAGTAATCTGGCAAAATCATGACGTTATTACCACAATTATAAGTAAACACAGTATGTCAATAGATAAAATATAATGTAAACACTACGCTAAATATTAACCTTTCACAATTATTCTTTTGTTTATAACAACGTAAAATTGTAGGCTGGTACTTCTAATGTCCCATGATTTTTTTAAATGAATAGTTCATTATCTGCCAGTATTGACTTATAGGTTTTATTATGTTCGTTCTCTGTTAACATTTACAGGATTTCTCTATTCTTTTGAAGACCCACACTTTAAAAGCACTTGCCACATCTGATCAGAAGTTCTCAAAATCCTTGACTCTCACTTTGGCTACGTTAACCATAACAACTATGTTTATACTCTGTCATGCTAGATAGTTTAACATTGTAATCTATAGGAGTAGAAGGCATATCAGAGAGAGTTTGATGATGATGTCATTTTAGGTCTCAAATGTAAAAATATTGAAGTATATTTTTGTGTATACCTTTCTTTGAAAGTAGTAATAAAGTTCTAAACTTCCTTTTTACAGTGCTTATTTTGAAATAGTTTTAAAATGCCTTAACTTGAGAGAGGTGCAAAATACAACTGGATTGGAACACCAAGAAGTCTAATAAAGGGTGTATTTTATTTACATCACAATAGCAACAGTAATAAGATGATGTTGATGCAATTATTTTATATTTAATTTAAATTTTAAACTTGTTAAACGCATTTTCTAGTTGTTAAAAGCACATTTACTTATGCTAGAACATCAACTATAAATATCTTTCTATAAAGATGAGATTTTCAAAAGTGCCCAAATTAGGAATTTTGCTCCTAACTCACCTAGAATGGGATTTTCAGAAGCACCTAAATCTTTAACAACATATATTCCGCATTTGTGATCTTGATAACACTTAAATGGGAGAACTCTTTATAACTATAAAAATATTCTTTGATCAATGTTACAGATAAAATGCTTAACTAAACAATATTTAGATTACTAGAAGACTTACCTAGTGGTCTCTCTCCTGCCATCCATCTCCACCCTCTAACAAACAGAAGCTAGGGACACCATTCCTTACCCATACTGGCTAATAACCAGGACTCGACAATTAGGGCAATCTACTCACCCATGGCGAGTAGATTTTAGCCCGGCACGGTGCCACAGCGCAATCAGCGCATGCGCAGCGCAGCCGCTTGTCAAGCCCTGCTAATAATCATTAATGGACTTAACCTCCATGAATTTATCTAGTTCTCTTTTAAACCCTGTTATTGTCCTAGCCATCACAACCTCCTCAGGCAAGGAATTCCACAGATTGACTATGCACTGTGTGAAGAACTTCCTTTTATTTGTTTTTAAACCTGCTGCCCGTTAATTTCATTCGGTGGCCTCTAGTTCTCGTATTATAGGAACAAGTAAATAACTTTTCCTTATTCACTTTCTCCACACCACTCATGATTTTATACATCTCCATCATATCCCCCCTTAGTCTCCTCTTTTTCAAGCTAAAAAGTCCTAGTCTCTTTAATCTCTCCTCATGGGATCCGTTCCAAACCCCTAATCATTTTAGTTGCCCTTCTCTGAATCTTTTCAAATGCCAGTATATCTTTTTTGAGATGAGGAGACCACATGTGTACACAGTATTCAAGATGTGGGCGTACTATGGATTTATATAAGGGCAATAAGATATTCTCTGTCTTATTCTCTATCCCTTTTTAAATGATTCCTAACATCCTGTTTGCTTTTTTGACTGCCACTGCACACTGCGTGGATATCTTCAGAGAACTATCCATGATGACTCCTAAGATCTCTTTCCTGATTAGTTGTAGCTAAATTAGCCCCCATCATATTGCATGTATAGTTGGGGTTATTTTTTCCAATATGCATTACTTTACATTTATCCACATTACATTTAATTTGCTATTTTGTTGCCCAATCACTTAGTTTGGTGAGATCTTTTGAACTTCTTCATAGTCTGCTTTGGTCTTAACTACCTTGAGCAGTTTAGTATTGTCTGCAAACTTTGCCACCTCACTGTTAACCCCTCTCTTCAGATCATTTATGAATAAGTTGAATAGGGTCCTTCATGGCAGAGGGCTAATGGTATGTGGAGTATAGGAATAAGGGCAGAGCCTTGGGAATGTGGGAGGATCAGGGCAGGAGGCTAGAGTTGTGGGGGGGTACAGAAGTCCGCATGGGGGGTTGCAGAAGAGCTCAGGGCAGAGGGCAAAGGCTGGAGGTGCGAGAGTGAGGGTTGGGGAATGAGAAGAGGCTCAGAGCAGAGGGTGGGGATGCAGGAACTGGGCCAGGGGTTGGAAGGAAGGGACACGTGGGGGAGCTCAGGGGAAAGGGTAGCTGCAGGCTTCTCTCTGGGGTGGCCCAGGGTGGCAGGGACTGCACCCTGCCCATCAGCTTTTCCCCAGGGCAGGTGTGCACCCTGCCCATTGGCTTTTCCCTGCGGTAGACATGCCCCAGCCCGCTAGCTCGTCCCCAGGGGCAGGGAGCTGGGGCTTTCTCCATCTCTCCCTACCTCTCCAGCACCCTTGCTTAGTGCTGCGGCCAATGGCCAGAGGGTGAGGGGTTTGGGACAGGGAGGCCACTTACCCAGTCGAGTGACTGACAAGAGGGAAAACTCCAGCGCTGGCCACTTTCTTGTTGGTGTGCCTGCCCTGAGTGGTAGCTCTGCAGCATGGTTCTCCTGCACGTTCACTGCCCCCAGTGGTTACTCTGTGGTATCACTGATCAGTCACCTCCCTTTCCATGTTATGGAAAATAGTTCCATTCCAGGAAGACCCCATTTTCCTGGCACAATCAAACCCTAACCTTGCTTTAGGTTAAGAGAAGAGGAAGATGCATTCCACATTTGGTGGTCCTAGCTCTTACCATTTAGGAGGAGTTATTGAACAGATGGGAGTTGTTGAACAGGACTCTCAGATGGGCAGACAAAAAGATACACATTTCTAAAATATACAACACTCTTGTCATCTGAAGTAGTGGGTTGTGCCCATGAAAGCTCATGATACCATCTACATGTTTTGTTAGTCTTTAAGGTGCTACGAAACTGTTTGTTGTTTTTTAAGTTTTTCCTATTACAAACTAACTCGGCTACTCCTCTAAAGCTCTAAAATATAGAGTTAGGTTATAAATTGTGCATAGCCTTGCTTTGTTTCACACACAAACTTTAAAATATTTTAAAGCATCTTTTCTAAACTCATTTTTTTCACATTGTACATCATTTTCAGACTATTTCTCAGATAATCTAGTTGCCTGGCAGAGGTACAAAACCAGCTTCCACTCAGTTTGAATAGCATCGCTACAGTGCAGAACAAAACTTTGAACATCCCATTACTTATAGGTTTCATTGAGAGAAGGATTCCTGGAAATAGGCTTATGCCTTATCTTTATGAATTTTTCAGTCATTAAGAGAAAAGCAGTTGTGTTTACTGGTTCAGTGGGGTTTTGTAACGTAATGTTCCTCCATCACCACCATTATAGATGCATGGGTAAAAATATCCTTTTTCACACAGAGTGTGAATTGAGCCTTTATAGGTCATTCTTTTCATTTGCAGGAAGAAGCTGAAATACAAGCAGAACTTGAACGTTTGGAAAGAGTTAGAAATCTTCATATACGAGAACTCAAAAGAATAAATAATGAAGATAATTCACAGTAAGTCATTAGATTTTAATTTTGCATGTTTATTCTTAAAAACCTAATGTATCTTAAAAACCACCTTCACCAAAATTGAACAGAATATGCTATAATGTTTTATTGGGACATCTCCTTGTTTTAATACTTATCTTATCTTAAATGGATTGTAATTATACCTAAAAATAATGATACAGTGTAATAATTTTACAAGTCATTGTACATGTAGAGCTGAAAATGCAGAATATCTAAAATTTGCTACTTCACAATTCTGACATAAAGAAATAGTTATGGGGAACTCTAAAGCAACCCACTCACTTGAAAGTAATTCCTAAAGATGTAAGAAAGTCTTGGGGAATTTGCAGAAATGTTATGATCATATAAGACTAAATTCAGCTGTATTGAAGTATTGTTCACATATTTATCAAAGCACCAAAAAGCTCAAGAAAACAAATTACTATTGTGTGTTACTGATACCTACTGCAAGATTTAATTTGTGTGATAATCGATAGTAAGATAAAACTTGCATCAGGAATTAACTTTGAATCTACATATTACATAACTGAGCAAACTGAAAGTTTAATTTTATGTTTACTCTTTCGACTATAACAAGACTACACATATAAGTTTCAGCTTTTTCTGAAAGTGTTAAAATGCATGGTAATGCAATTGGATGAATATTTGTAATGTTTTAATGGTTGTCATATACTAGGAAAGTTGTGATTCCTGTGAGGCTGTAGCAGTAGGGCTATCTTTTGCCACTGTTCTGGGTTCAAGAAGCATCTGACACTGATGTTTTGTATAAAAGCCACTGGCACAATGATGTCCTTTATAACTCTGTTGACCTGAATATTTGGTTAACTTAAAAGAAAGCATACTTAAAATAAAAATAAACAGATTGCCATGCCACCAGAGATAGTAGGAAGTAACCCACAAAAGGTGCGTGAGGGATATCTCCCACCCGAGTGAGCTTGGCATATTGTGATGGGATTCTCCACCAAGCTAGGCATGGGAGATACCACTTGCGCACCTTCCCTGGGTCATTTCCTACCATCTCTGGCGGTGTGACAATCAGTGAGGCTGCGGGGTCCTCCAGCTCCGTAATGCAAGTTATTCTCCTGTCCTGGGATGCCATTCTGTACTGAGAAGGAATGTTTTCCTTCTGTCCTCCTGGCATTCGAATAAGAATGGATTTGAGGGCTTTGTTATGTGTATCACACTAGTTTTGGATCTGATAAGGAAGGAAATTTTCCAACTTCATCTCAACAGTGCAGAGACTGAAAGGGTGAGAGAGGTGGTAAAATTAATTTTGCAACCTAACTTGATATGTGTACAGTACATATTCCATATATGATAATTGTTCCATAATGGTCTGCTTCCCTGTTGCACTGGAATTGGAAGGCATCTCCTAAAGAAATTGGAGAATGAAGTTGGCATTTCCCTTTCAGTTCTAGTGTTCTGTGATTCTGTGGTCCCAGCATTATTTATGGAGTAGAGGGCTGTTAGTATGGGTAGAAGAGATTATCAAGATTATTTCCTGTGCTTGAAAAGTTATTGCAAATAGCTCCCCGGTATGTGACTTAATGTTGCAACTGAATTAAGCCACCATTCTGGTGTCATGTTCTCCTGTAGTATCTGGGGAAAAGGCTAAACTCTGGGATGGGGGAGGGAAAAAGAAATGTTAAGAAATATTTTCGGTTCATTTTCCCCTTGAAAACAAAGAAGAAACTGAAATTGGTGATGTAAAATACAAATAAAAATATAATTGGTATGGTTTGTGAACCAATAGAATTTGAAAATCAAAAGTTGCTATAACACTTGTTTCCCAGACAGTACATATCCAAAAACTGCTGACATTTTGTTTGTCATTAGATTCAATTCACATATAGTAAAAACAAAAACAGTTAAAAATTTAATGGTTAAAATTTAAGACTCTTCACATTCACTCAAAAAAAAAAGACTTGGACAAAACTAACTGAATGGCAGTGTTTTGGTAACAATTGTTGATTTGCTATGATAGACTGAAAACATTAATATACTATTTTAAAAATTGCATTGCTGTATATTAGAAAGCAGCCATCAAATTCTAGTAAAATATTACTGAGCAGGATTTATCCTTTTATATAAACTAAGTTTAAATAATAATACAAAGAGACCTACATTCCAGGCTCTCCTATCTCAGATAGTCACTTGAAGTCTCCCTACTTTCTTTTTAAGGTTCAAAGATCATCCTACATTAAATGAACGGTATTTGTTACTTCATTTACTTGGTCGGGGTGGCTTCAGTGAAGTATATAAGGTAATATGTATTTTGGTCTGCTAATATAAAATCTGATAGCCACATAAGTTTGTATATATAATTTGCTTACTTTTGATCTCCTGAGCTAAGAGGGTTCGAATACTGTAGCACTAATTAAACAAAGATTCGGGAAAAAAACATTAGCTTTTATATGGAGCCTTATGCTTATATAATCAACAGACGAAGGCTTTATTGGTCACTAAAAGACTTTTACTCAGTGCTGCCTAGCTCCTTCAGGGCAGGGGGCTGGCAGTGGAGAGTGGAAGGAAGTTGCAGGAGTCAGGGCAGAGCCTTGGGGATTTAAGGGGGGCAGGGCAGGAGGCTAGGAGCGTGGGGGTGCGTATGCAGGAATCAGGGTAGAAGATCTTGGGGGGGTTGCAAGAGTTAGGGTTGAGGGGTGAGAAGGGGTTCAGGGTATGTGAGGGGATCCCACCTGGCAGGGGCCTTCTCTCTTCCCCTCAGCTGGTTCCCCATCCTGCAAGAGCCTTCTCTTATCTCCCCAGTGCTCTCCTGATTGGCAGAGGCCCTTCTCTCCCCTGCCCCCCCAGCCTCTCCCGCAGCCAGCAGGGGTCTTTTCTCCCCCTACCCCAGCACTGCAGCCAAAGGCTGGGGAAAAGGGTTTGGGATGGAGGGCTACTTATTCAGTCTGGTGGCAGGCAAGATGGTGAGCCCTAGCCCCAACTAGACACTCCCTCAGTGATGTAGCTGCCCCTAGTGGTCACTCTGCAGTATAGCTTCCTCCACACTCGCTGCCCCCAGTGGCCGCTGTGACTATTGCATTCTTCCTCTCTGCCCCCTCCCTTTCCATGTTATGGAAAACAGTCCCATTCCAGGGACTTCCCATTTTCCTGGCCCTACCAAACTCTGGCCTTGCATTAAGTTAGGATAAGAGTAAACTGTATACCACATTTGGTGGTTCTAGCTCTTATCATTTAGGAGGAGTTCCAGAACAGACAGACTCACAGACACAGACGCACTCTAAAACAGAGAGAGATAAGGAAGAAGCCAGGATTGTGACTCTAGTCTTGCTGATATGTCCATTAAGGAAAATGTATTGTAGTAGACTGGAAAATTAGGAACTTGTGATACAATTTTTTAAAAAAAATTTGGTCTTTCTGAGCCTGGCAGAAGTAACCACAGCCATAGAAGGGTGCGCTTGCCACTGAAATGAGCCTCAATGAACCCAAACATAGAGATAACCTCTTGTATCCAGAGCAGCTCTGACTAACCATTTATTTTTCTGAATGTAAAATTGGCAGAAGTCTTGCTGGATATGAAAATATCTGAGGAAAGTAGAATAAAATTGTCAGTATTACGATCAATTATCTAGTGCAATTCCATGACTCTACAAACTGCATGTAATGTTACTTATATAATAAAGTTTGTATACTTCAAATAACTGGGTCTTCACATTTATGAAGTGTTTTTTACATCTGAATTCAAAAGATGGCTATGATGCATTTGTATAATTTAATTTTCCTTAGTTTGTAGACTTGTGGATTATATGCTGAATTTAGACCTTTTTTGTGTTATTTTTTTGTCATCTTTGGTTGTAACTGTTCCAAATCTGGTTTTCTAGGCTTTTGATCTTTATGAACAAAGATACGCTGCTGTGAAGATCCACCAACTCAACAAAAGCTGGAGAGATGAGAAGAAAGAAAACTACCACAAGTAAATATTAATAACTTAGAATTCTTGTGGTAAATTTAACTGTGTTCTATTGACTGTGGAAAGTTAACACATCATCTTCTTTTAGACATGCCTGCAGAGAGTATAGAATACACAAAGAGCTGGATCATCCCAGGATAGTTAAACTCTATGACTACTTCTCCCTGGATACAGATACGTAAGTGATATGACACTGATTTTAGAACATTCCTAGTATTTTTAATTCCTTATCTTTATTAAAATGAAGACTGTATGTGAATGCCAAGTTTGAGATCCCCAACCCAGCTATAACCTCATTATCTAAAATGACTGGTGCAATAATGTTAAAGGACTCTAAAAGCTCCAGTTTTGGTGGGAGAAAAAATTCCCCCTGGTGCAGACATTGTGGAAGACAGTCGTAAGGCTTCCTTCTGAGGTTGCCCAGGCATAAGGGATGTGTTGGAATGGCTTGCATATAAATCAAGGTAGCACTGTAGTCTCATAGGACAGCCCAGGAAGCTGCTGCAACTTACACAGACCACCAGGGCTGTCTTCGTTACCCTAAGGGTTTCTCCTATTCCATGTGCAGGCTAACATGAGGTGTTTCCATAACTACTACCATGCTTCCCTTGAGCTTTTATAGTAGGGAATTTCCACTGACTACTCTATTAGTTGATAAGGTGGGGGTGCTCGCTAACCCCGCTGCGGCCCTGAAGTTTAAAAGTAATAGGAGCTGAGTGTGCAGCAGCCTGGCTCCTACTACTTTTAAACTGCAGAGATGCAGTGGGGTTAGATCCCAGGGGCTCTTACTACATTTAAAATGCAGAGCTACTGCAGGGTTAGATCTTGGGGCTGGCACGAGCTGGGATTGAACAGTCCCAGCTCGTTCTAGCTTCAGAATGCTGCGGCTCTGCCCCTCACCCTTCCCCCACACATACTGTGGAGATAGTGGTGCTGGGGGAACTGGCTTTTAAGTGCTGGGGGGAACTGGCCCCCAGCACCGGCTCCTGCTTCTCTCCCCGTTGCTGACACAGAAGCAGCAAGAGGGAGGGGAAGACTTGACTACCCGATAAGCATATGCTAGTAGTTGACTAGTTGACTGTTCCATTACATCCCCATTTCAGAGACCCAGTAAAGAATTCCACAGTAGGAGATTAAAATACTTTTGTTACCATGAAACTTGTCTGTACAAAAAACAAAGTTTTTACATACTCTCACTTGTATTTCTGTAGTCTATTTTGTTTCTGAATGCAAACGCTTTTGATGTTTGGTTTTTAAGTAACTAGTTATTATGCCAGATTCCCTTAATTTAAAAAGCTAGTTTTACTGTTGTTCATGTAATCAAAATACTTAACTTGTCAGTATCAATCTTTTTTCATATTATTGTACAGTTAGGCTATGTCTACACAGCAGCATTATTCCGAAATAACATAGTCCGCATTTACACAACAAGCAGCTATTTAACATAATATTGAAATAATGTTGAGCTGGAGGATTTCTTATTCTGACTCCTGTAACCCTCATTTTATGAGGAGTAAGGGAAGTTGGAAGAAGAGTGCTCTAACTTGGACTTCCTGCTGTGTAAACAGCACCAAAAGCTGAAATAACTTATTTTGACTCAAGCTACGCAGTAGACAGCTCAAGTTGTGTAGCTTATTTCGAATTTAGCTCTGCTGTGTAGACATGCCCTTAGATGGCAATTTATATTCTACCTTATCTGACACTGTATTTATGAATTTTTACTCTAGGTTTTGTACAGTGTTGGAGTACTGTGAAGGCAATGACTTGGATTTCTATCTCAAACAACATAAACTGATGTCAGAGAAGGAAGCTAGGTCAATTGTAATGCAAATAGTAAATGCACTACGGTATCTCAATGAGATCAAGCCCCCTATTATACACTATGATCTTAAACCAGGTAAATTAAAAAAGTTACTTTTGAAAATCTAATAATTTTGTTCTTTTGAATTATATTTGTAATTCATGCTGCAAAATCTCAAGTTAACTTCTGGTTGTCATTTCTTCTTAAACATTTCCAAAATCCTTCTTTCTCTTACATCTTTACTGCTGAAACCTTTATCTATTCTTTGTCTATCACTTTCCTCAACTCTTCAGTCATTTAGCATTATTTTGTGATTTTTATTTATGGGGTAAGTCCCTGTCACAGGGTGTAGCCCTCATTGCCAGACCCGCACCTCTTCTGGGGATTGGCTTGAAGCGGAAGCCTATGTCTGTGGTTGGCACACCAGAACTCAGTCTTTGCATTCTCTTCTCGACTCAGGCCCCTGGCTAGGTTACCATCTTTGTTTCCCTCTTCTGGAAGGGAATCTGTGTCCAAAAGTCAAACCATTTCCCCAGTGAGGTGTTGTTGGGGGGAGGGGGGTCCAGGCCCACACACTAATCCAACCCTCATCCCAAGTACGCTGTAAATAGCCTGCTGTTGTTTCCCTGTAATCTCCAATGGGCCACCTCCAATGGCCCTAGCACTACCTTCTTCGCCCTTACCTCAGGGCACTCAGCTAGGCTCCCTAAGGCAACTAATACTACTCTGCCCTGAAGTTCCCTTTTATCTGAGCTTTTAGAACCTGAATTGGTCCCTGCATCTCCTCCCTGATTGGCTGTGCTTTACATGGCCTCTCTGGGCTGTTGGGGGGGGGGGGGGGGCACACCCAGAACATGATGGACACTTTCAGAAATAAGAAAATAATTTGTTTCCTTTCCCTTTGATTTTTTCCAGAATGCTGCCCTAAAAATAATTTTCCTTTAGTGTGCATTTTCCTTGTCCACTGAAATCCTTTCACTGGCTATCACTGCCTACATCTAGTTCCAGCTTTTGTTTTCACTTTGCAGTCTGTGTAATTTCACTCATTTCTACCATGATGGACACTTTCAGAAATAAGAAAATAATTTGTTTCCTTTCCCTTTGATTTTTTCCAGAATGCTGCCCTAAAAATAATTTTCCTTTAGTGTGCATTTTCCTTGTCCACTGAAATCCTTTCACTGGCTATCACTGCCTACATCTAGTTCCAGCTTTTGTTTTCACTTTGCAGTCTGTGTAATTTCACTCATTTCTACAACTGTTGTCCTCCTTTGCTATCACCAGGTCTCTTTCCTACCTGCTCCCTTTATATCCTCCTTCCGCTGTCCTCTTCATGTCCTCTTTCATGTTATTCCCCTTATGCCTAGAACAGTCTCATTTTTCTTGCATGTCTAATAGCCATTGTCTTCAGATCTCTCTTTAATTCTTACCACATCCATTAAATCTTCCAATAATGACTCAGCATAAAGTACATAAATTGAGTGTGACCATTTTAAACAAACAGATTTAAGGTTTACACTATCTTCTACCTATAGCCTTCCTTTGGCCTTCTGTTTTATTTAGTACTGTCTTTATGAATCTTAAATTGTTAACCTCTTGAGACAGAGTTATTGTTTTTGTGGCATACTGTAGAACATCAAGCCAGAGCTACTACTTTGTAAGTAGGAAACTTTTAACATGGATTTTTCTTAGGGTAGAGATGTACAGTATGCATGCTCTTTTGAACAGTTCCAGAGAAGGACTGTTCTCATATAGAACAGTTCTGAATATATTTTAAGGCAACTTAATTTAATATTTTGAAGATAACACAAGATTGGTAAAAAAAAATTTTGTTTAAATAATGAATAAAATGCAATACTATAGGAAAACATAGTATGAGAAATACATTGTGCAGTTTAAAAACATGGGGGGAGGTCCTTGGCCTGTCTGTAGCCCCTTTGCACTGTTCTTGAGGGCCCAATATAGACTGGCCCTAAAGCCAACTTAACTAGCTTCCTGTGAATTCTGTGGTGCTGGTAGAACATGTTTTGTGGATAAGTAGTGGAAAAAAGTTCAGTGCCAGTTGTTGCTGTGATTTGGTGTTTCACAGCTACCCAATGAGTCCCTTAAAAGGCCATTGCAGTTGGGATCAGCTTAGGAACAGCACATGGATCAGCATGGTTTGATGAGGAGACTAGAAAGGTGGTTGGAGTACAGCTGTTGTAGATTGCTGCAGGTTGACCCTATGATGACTCACTTATTTAGTATGCTTGTGATAAGGTTGCATATTCATAATTTTTTGTTGTTGTTAGGCAACATCCTTCTGGTAGATGGAACAGCATGTGGAGAAATAAAAATCACTGATTTTGGTCTCTCCAAAATAATGGATGATGACAGCTATGGTGTGGATGGAATGGACTTAACTTCACAAGGGGCAGGAACTTATTGGTAATTTTAAGTTTGGACAGATGTGTTGTTTAAATTCTTATCATTGTTCAAATTTCAATAATGTGACATCAGTTTTACACAGATATTTAGGATTAAAAGTGTTAAACAAGAAAAGGATTTATACGCAATATTTAACCTGTGGATCTTAGTGTTGAAGAAACGTAATTATACTGAATTTTGTAGGATGCATAACATAACCAAATGTTTACAGGAGCACTAATAACATCTACAGTTACATTAGTGAAGATAAAATTACTAGGACTATCTGTTTTTCAAATCTGAGGATCAGATGAAGTAAGAGAGAAACACCGTTCTTTCCTTCTCCCCTCCCTGCCCAAAGCATAGTCTAGCACAAGTAGGTGCAATATGAAGGGTTTTATTATGGTGGGATTTTTTTTAAAGTTTTGGAAAAGTGAAATTGCAGTAGAAAGACCTTTGATCACTTCTAGTATGGCAATTCCTGTGTTTCTATTTTTACTTCTCCTATGGAAGCCAGTTTGTACTTCATTCATAATCTTTCAGGAGGGCAGCAGCCAGGATATGTATTTGAACATTTTGAAAGAAACATCATTTTATTTCAGAATATTATAAACATGTTTTCCAAGAAGAAAATATATATTAAACTTATGGCTTTTTTGCAAGTTCTTGACAGCTCTCCCAGGTATACTGGGTTTGTATAAATGCTTACCACTGAGAAATGTTGTCAATTTCAAGAACTTTAGATCCCCATATCATCATCAGATAGACCATGTATATGAACACATTAAAATAATCTCTTTGTCTTAAAGGTTCGATTGATTGGAAGACTGACCAGCCATATTATATGTACAAGGATAATACATATTTCAGTAACGATGAGAAGTCCTATGGTACCTTATAGACTAACAGATTTATTGGAGCATAAGCTTTCATGGGCAAAGACCCACTTCATCAGATTCATGATGAAGTGGGTCTTTGTCCACAAAAGCTTATGCTCCAATAAAACTTTTAGGCTATAAGGTGCCACAAGACTTCTCGTTGTTTATGCAGATTCAGACTAACGTGGCTACCTTGATACTTGTCACTATATATTTCAGTATTTGTTACATGTGTACATATAGGATAAATGTATACTGTTTCAATATAAAATGGTTATGGAGTGTTCTCCATTGTTGTCTATGTTTCACACTAAGGGTGTGTCTAGACTAAAGGGATTTTTCGAAAAATGTGGCCTTTTTTTGAAAAATCTTTATCTACCTCTAGACTGCTGCTGCATTTTTTCGAAAATAAATCGAAAGAATGCAGCAGTTTTTTTTGACTGCAGAAAAACTCGTTTTACAAGGAAGAACGCCTTTGAAAGTGCTCTTTCAAAAAAAGGTGTGATGTAATGCAAACTGTGCTTTTTCGAAAGAGAGCATCCAGAATGCTGGGTGTTCTCTTTCAAAAAAGCCTCTTTTGAAAAAGGTATGTAGTCTAGACGTAGCCTAAGTTAAACCATTAGGAGGACCTATGAGAATTAAGCATTTCTCACATGCATACCTGAAACATGCCACGAAATTGCAGCACATACCGTAAACAAAGCATTTTAAAAATGCGTGCCTAAATACATTTCCCAGATCAGCCCAAGTTTAAAAATCCTGTAGAAAAGTAAGATTAAGAACAGTCTGACTTCTCACATTTGAAAAATATGTGGGACGTGGGGGAGGTGCCCGCTTTTTCCTGCTGCTTAGGGAGAAAGGACCATTAGATTATCTAGCCTGACCTTCTGCATATCGTAGGCCACTAGCCACATCCACACATTTAAACCCAGCAATCAAAATTAGACCAAAATATTACAGTCCACAGGACTATTGTGCGTCAGACAGAGAATAGGAGGGACCGAGGTGCACCAGGACTCAAAGCCAAAGTCACCATTAGGGAATGTTAAAAGTTGGTTAAATAGGTAACCATATAACCACTGAAAATCCCAGCAGTTATATGCTGTGGGCTCTACAGTATAAAGGTTAAATAAGCTTTATGTTGCGGAGTGCTCAGCTGGGAGTGGGACTGCTCTGCTACCCACTGCCAGCCCAGCTCCTGGGGAGGTGGCTTCCCTGTTGCAGGGTAACCTTCTTTCCAGGAGTGAAGTGGGCATCCATTGCCTGCCCAGTTTCCGGAATGTAGGCTTTGCTGCAGCAGTGAAGCTGCTGCCACAATGAAACTGCCTCCCTGGGAGCTAGCTGATTGTAAGAGACACCATTAATTGATAGACTCATAGACTTTAAGATCAGAAGGGACCATTATGATCATCTAGTCTGACCCCCTGCACAGTGCAGGCCACAGAATCTCACCCACCCCTCCTAGAATAATCCTCTCACCTATATCTCAGATATTGAAGCCTTCAAATACTTTGAAGACCCCAAGATGCAGAGAATCCTCCAGCTGTGATCTGTACGCCATGCTACAGAGGAAGGCGAAAAACCTCCAGGGCCTCTGCCAATCTACCCTGGAGGAAAATTCCTTCCCGACCCCAAATATGGCGATCAGCTAAACCCTGAGCATGTGGGCAAGACTCATCAGCCAGACACCCAGAAAGTTCTCTATAGTAATTCCTATCATCCCTCCATTGACCTATTTCCCACTGATAATGAATGGTCAATTAGTTACCAAGATCATGTTATCTCATCAAACCATCCCCTTCATAAACCCATTTAGTTTAATCTTGAAACCAGATAGATCTTTTGCCCCCACTACTTCCCTTGGAAAGCTGTTCCAGAACCTCACTCCTCTAACGGTTAGAAACCTTCATCTAATCTCAAGACTAAACTTCCTACTAGCCAGCTTATATCCATTTGTTCTTGTGTCCACATTGGTATTAAACTTAAATAATTCCTCTCCCTCCCTGGTATTTATCCCTCTAATATATTTAAAGAGTGCAATCATGTCCCCCCTCAGCCTTCTTTTGGTTAAAGTAAACAAGCCAAGCTCCTTGAGTCTCCTTTCATAAGACAGGTTTTCCATTCCTCGGATCATCCTAGTGGCCCTTCTTTGTACCTGTTCCAGTTTGAATTCATCCTTCTTAAACATGGGAGACCAGAACTGCACACAGTATTCCAAATGGGGTCTCACCAATGCCTTGTATAATGGCACTAACACCTCCTTATCCCTACTGGAAATACCTCGCCTAATACATCCCAAGATCGTATTAGCCTTTTTCACGGCCATGTCACAATGGCGGCTCATAGTCATTCTATAATCAACCAGGACTCCGAGGTCCTTCTCCTCCTCCGTTACTTCCAACTGATGTGTCCCCAGCTTATAACTAAAATTCTTGTTATTAATCCCTAAATGCATAACCTTATACTTCTCACTATTAAATTTCATCCTATTGCTATCACTCCAATTTACAAGATCATCCAGATCTTCCTGTATGATATCCTGATCCTTTTCTGAATTGGCAATAGCTCCCAACTTTGTGTCATCTGCAAATTTTATTAGGACACTTCCACTTTTGGTGCCAAGATCAGCAATAAAAAGATTAAATAAAATTGGCCCCAAAACTGATCCCTGAGGAACTCCGCTAGTAACCTTCCTCCAACCTGACAGTTCACCTTTCAGTATGACCTGCTGTAGTCTCCCCTTTAACCAGTTGCTTATCCACCTCTCAACTTTCATATTAATCCCTATCTTTTCCAATTTAACCAATAATTCCCCATGTGGTATTGTATCAAATGCCTTACTAAAGTCGAGGTAGATTAGATCCACTGCATTTCCTTTATCTAAAAAATCTGTTACTTTCTCAAAAAAGGAGATCAGGTTGGTTTGGCATGATCTGCCTTTCGTAAAACCATGTTGTAATTTGTCCCAATTGTCATTAGCCTCAATGTCTCTAACTACTTTCTCCTTCAAAAATTTTTCCAAGATCTTACATACTACAGATGTCAAACTAACAGGCCTATAGTTACCCGGGTCGCTTTTTTTCCCTTTCTTAAAAATCGGAACTATATTAGCAATTCTCCAGTCAAATGGTACAACCCCTGAGTTTAGAGATTATTAAAAAATTTTGCTAATGCACTTACAAGTTCACATGCCAGTTCCTTTAATATTCTTGGATGAAGATTATCTGGGCCCCCATTTACTCCCATTAAGCTGTTCAAGTTTGGCTTTTACTTCGGATATGGTAATATCTACCTCCTTATCTTTAGTCCCATTTGTTAACTTACCATTATCCCTAAGCTTTTCATTAGCCTCATTAAAGACTGAAGCAAAGTATTTGTTCAAATATTGGGCCATTCCTAGATTATCCTTAACCTCCACTCCATCCTTAGTAATTAGCGGTCCTACTTCTTCTTTTTTTGTTTTTTCCATTATCCCTAAGCTTTTCATTAGCCTCATTAAAGACTGAAGCAAAGTATTTGTTCAAATATTGGGCCATTCCTAGATTATCCTTAACCTCCATTCCATCCTTAGTAATTAGCAGTCCTACTCAATAAGGTAGCTTTCTTTACTGATTCCTCCCATTTTCCACTCCTTATATGCTTTCTGCTCTTTCTTAATCACCTCTCTGAGATGCTTGGTCTAACACACCTGCCTGTAAATTTTTTCCCTTTTCTTGGGATACAGGCTTCTGACAGCTTCTGCAACTTTAACTTAAAATAATTCCAGGCCTCCTCCACTTTAAGATCCATAATTTCTTTAGTCCAATCAACTTCCCTAACGAATTTCCTTAATTTACTAAAGTTAGCCCTTTTGAAATCAAAAACCCTAGTCTCAGATTTATTTTTGTTTATCCTTCCATTTAATTTAAACTGAATTAGCTCATGATCACTCGAGCAAAGGTTGTCTCCTACAACCATTTCATCTATGAGGTCCTCGCTACTCACCAAAACCAAATCTAAAATAGCATCTGCCCTTGTTGGTTCAGCAACTACTTGATGAAGGAATTCATCAGCTATCACATCTAGGAAAATCTGAGCCCTATTATTATTACTAGCACTTGTTCTCCAGTCTATTTCTGGAAAGTTGAAATCTCCCATAATTAC